GAATCTGAGTATATTTTTTTAATTTTTTTTTAACGTTTACTTATTTTTGAGACAGAGAGAGACAGAGCATGAACAGGGGAGGGTCAGAGAGAGAGGGAGACACAGAATCCGAAACAGGCTCCAGGCTCTGAGCGATCAGCACAGAGCCCGACGCGGGGCTCAAACTCACGGACCGCGAGATCATGACCTGAGCCGAAGTCGGACGCTTAACTGACTGAGCCACCCAGGCGCCCCAAGTCTGAGTATATTTTTGCAGTAAGTGAGTGAGTTGATTTGGTTATCAAAGAGCTACATGGTGAAAACCAAAAAAGTATTTTCTTGGGTCTTGACTCACACCCAGTGGTGATGGTTCTCTCTATGGCCATAAGCCTGATTTTGAATTAACATTATGAACTTGTCACCAGTTTACTCCTCTTCCCTTCTTAAAACTTAAAAAAAAAAATTGTAACTAGATTGAAAAATACTATGAACTAAAATGCTTTGGTAGTGGGTGGTAGTGGACTTTTAATTCATTTAGGTGATGTTTGTTGACTGTCTTGGAGTATGTAAATATTGTAGATGCATCGAGAGGCAGCACGTTGTTGCCTATTGAACTAGGCAACATCCCTGTGACTCAAACCCGCACTGCACCCCAGGTTTCTTGTGTGTTCAAAATATGGCAATTCTGAGCTCATTTTTCATCTTGTCTGGCATTCTACGTTTATTCTTGCAGGTTCTCCATACACGGACACTATTACAGCTTCATGAGATACAGCCTAGGTGTCATTAGGCTGATTTGAAAGTCTTCCTAGAGGTATCCAAAAGGCATTTTTATGGGCCATTTCATCAGTTTAGGTTTTCCTAGGTCCCAAATTCTTACCCTGTCCTAGAGACGTTGGCTGTATGTTCTTGGAAAGAATCTGCTTCGTAATAAGATTACTTAATGAAGAGGGTGAAAAAATTGGTGAAACCACCAATTTTTATTGCATAGCGCGTTGCTTGTCATTGCCTGAGTCTGTGTTTATCCTTTCTTTGAACACCTATGGACAGTGTGGTGGTAATGGAAACTAGAAGTGAAAGAGAGGATGGATAGTGGACTGTGAATTAGAAAAGTCCCAAAGTGCTTTCTAGAGTTAGAAAAATATTTGACAATGAAAACATGATTTTCTGCAATTATCATTTTGTTTGGAAATAATTAGCTTGAGGGGAAGTCGGGTGAAAAGTGATTGGAGGGCAGTTAAATAACTTTGTGTGTTAGAGTAGAATAAGGCATGATCATGTCTAAGTGCATTTAGCGTCATTGATTGATATATGTTGATATGGACATGAAAGCCAAATTGTGTTTCTTGTGACTATGTTAAGATTAATAAGCTATTTACTATTTTGAGTTGAATAAGGAATCAGAAGTATCAACTAATTTACCCCAAATTACACAGCTAGGGGACTTTCTGACTCAGATCTATCTTATTTTCATGTTACCAGTCTAGTTGTGCTTCTCCCTGGCAATCTGTTTTGGCCACTGAAAGAAGCCTTTCCAATGCTATCTTCAGCCTCTGGCTTAATGGGGCTTGTAGCTGTTTGATTTTCACAACATCTCCATGTTCACCTTGTTGGGTCCTTTAAATATCTTGGCCTTGATAATCATGTTGGGCTACAAGTTACAAAGTATGTCCCTGCTGCTACTCAGTATTTGAAGAGTTGGCTCCTGACCTACCACTATCTTACCTGTTTGGGCCTAGTCTATGCCTTGGATAACCCATTAACCTTGTTAACATCTGGACCAGTTTTTGTTCAGTATTTCGGTGTAAGACAGTATAAGATTTACTACTGCTTTTTAGGTGATGGTTTAGTGGAAAGATACAGATTTAGGACTGGGTGGAAATACCCATAACTCTATGAATTTGTCTACATTTCTGAACTTCACAGAGAGCCTTAGTTTATTTATCTAAAAGAAAAAAATAATCCCAACTTCTTGCGGTAATTCTGAGAATTAAGTGAAATAGCACAAGATGCCAACTGTTTAGGCTGTAGCAAATCTCGGGCATAGAGTAATGGGCATAGAGTAATGCCCAAGAGATGACAGTTTCTTACCCTTTTTTCTGGCTTCTGATCTGCACTGCTGTCTCTGGGCATCTGCTGTAGTCTCATCTTCCTTCCTTCACTCCATTCCCGCTCTCATTGTTGAAAACCCACAGGGCTCCTCACAGCATTGATCCGCCCCCTCTGATTGTTCACCCAGGGCCTGTAAGTGTGTTGAACTCCATGGCTCTCCTTGGTGTGGTGTCTGTTCCAGGTCTCCAGTGGGTTTAACTGAAAGCAAGCCTCTTATTGGGGATTTCATTCACAGTATAACTCTTCTCTTTAGGATTCTGTGTACTTCCATTGCCTCTTTCTCACTCGGTCTGTGCAGTACTCCCTAACTTAGGTATTTCCATTTCTTGTCTTAAGTCATCCAGAGTGTGGATCTTCAGAACATAAAAGCAGAAGCATATACATGAGGAACACTTCTAGTATGTATACAAAATAGGGCATTGCTTATCACCCTGTTATTTTTATGCCATAAAATAATACTCTAGTCAAATAAATAAAAATTTGGAAAACATTCAATCTCACAGAGTAATCAAAAGACATAGAATCATAAAATATCTCCTATTTAATTAGGAGAGAAAAATTTATATAGTACTCAGTGCTAGTGACTATGCAATTAGTGATACTCTCATAAATATGTGGGGACCTTATAAATCAGCACATACCTTAAGCAAAGCAGTTTATAGTGAGATATTTAGGGATCTAGTTTCCACCTATGTTTTTCTTCTCATATATGCATATGCATTATGAATCACAGTACTGATACCCTAATATGGTCCAAGGAAATAATCTTAAAGGAATTATCCAAAGTATATAAAAAGGTACACAAATTTCAAAATTCATTGTGGTATTGTTTATTATATTTTTTTTTTATTTAAAGCCTGCTACTTTTGAGGAAGGCCCTGGCCCAGTGAAACATAGGAGAAAAACGTTAAAGACGTTGTAGTCAGAATCTGGCATTTTCACGACTTCTTACTAGACTTACATTACTCCATGACCTACTGCATTTATAATAGAATATACATATATATGTATATATAGGTATACATATATATCTATATATATACACATATATATCACGTTAGCAGATAGGCATATATATATATATAGATATAGATATAGATATATATATATATGTAAACATCCTAGATCTCCAACAACAGAAGGGTAGACATAGGCAAGTAAATTGTGGTATACTCCTAAAATGAAATACCGTGGGATAATTAAAAGAATAAACTGCAGCCACATGTATTACATTTAAAAAAAATTCACATTTATAATATTGAACCAAAAAAGCAAGTTGCAGAGAGACATATTGTATGATATGATAGAAAGTTTCAAAATACATAAAATTTTTTTATTATATACTTATATGTAACTTTATAATAGTATTTTAAAAATTTAGCTGGTGTACCTAGCAACAATAATGGTTGTCTCTAGGGAGAGGAAAGAAAGTGATTAAGGAGGTCATACAAGGGCTGAAACTATATTTATAATGTTTAATAGATACATAAGTATTCATCATATAATTCTGTATACCTTTCTGTATGATTGAAATATTTCATAATTTCAAAATAGAAGGATCCATTGACTAACTTGAGATCTCAGACTTTTTGAAACATTATCATCCTGTTTTTCAGAATAGATGATAAATAACAAATAAAATGGATAAGTATCTGGAAAAAAGTGGATTTCTCTTCTCTGGTTTATAGCTTAGATCTGGGACTAAGATGCAAAGTGTTTGAATCCTTTAAAGAAGATAGTAAATATTAATTTTAATATCAATATTTTAAAAATTAGCTTAGGGACTCCTGGATGGCTCAGTGGGTTAAGCATCCGACTTCAGCTCAGGTCATGATCTCATGGTTCATGGGTTCGAGCCACACATTGGCCTCTGTGCTGACAGTTCAGAGCCTAGAGCCTGCTTCAGATTCTGTGTCTCCCTCTCTCTCTGCCTTTTCCTTGCTTGCTCTGTTTCTGTGTCTCTCTCTCTCTCAAAAATAAACATTAAAAAATTAAAATAAAATAAAATTAGCTTACAGTTTATGTTTATAAACCTCAGTGTTCATTTTTTTTTAAAGATTTTATTTTATTTTTTTGAGTAATCTCAAAACCCAACATGGGCCTTGAACTTAGAACCCCAAGATCAAAAGTCGCATGCTCCACCCAACTGAGCCAGCCAGGCACCCTTTCATGTTCATTTTTTAAGAAAACAAAATTCATCCTCTTCATTTTTTTTTTTCAGGAAACCTTAATTGTTCTTTTCCTTTTTGTGTGTGTTAAATCATAAAGCAGTAAACACTTTGGTTTCTAGATAAATTAGGGCATGTTGTTTACATTTGTCTTTTAAGAATTATAGTAATTTTGAATTTTTTTTAACGTTTATTTACTTTTGAGACAGAGAGAGACAGAGCATGAACGGGGGACGGTCAGAGAGAGAGGGAGACACAGACTCTGAAACAGGCTCCAGGCTCTGAGCCGTCAGCCCAGAGCCCGACACGGGGCTCGAACTCACGGACCGTGAGCTCGTGACCTGAGCCGAATTCGGACGCTTAGCCGACTGAGCCACCCAGGCGCCCCAAGAATTATAGTAATTTTGGATGGGACTTTTTAAAATTTATTTCTGTGGAAAAAATCCTTCTCTGTTTAATTAAAATTTTGAATATTGTTTATCTGTTGTTTAGGTAAAAGCGCTTGGATGTTAAACATCTGGGCTTTGTGAATTTTAGTTTAATGTTACAGCTGTATAACTCAGGGTGACGAAGCTAATATTTAAGATGTTGCCACCAGGTGCTATTAATCCAAGATTATTGAATGCCGAGGCTATCACGATGGAGAAAACCTTAAAGAAATCTCTAACTGAAAAATGAGTTGTCATTTTTGTTGGAATTTCATTGTAATCCATTAACATGATTTACGCTCTTGTATTTCAGGGAAAAGTGGCCCAGACAGCATGTATGTCAGCTTGCAAGCATTTGGCCACATCCTTGATGCAGCTGTTGCTGGAAGCCGAAGTAAGACAGCTCACCTTGGGAGCATTGCAGCAGTTCAACTTGGATGTCAGAGAATGTGAACGTAAGATAGTGAACCACCCTTCACTTGTTTGTTTCACCTGTGTACTCACGTCTGTGAAAACCAAGAAGTTTAAGTCTGTGGGGTCTTTGTTCCCGATGGGGTCGACAAATACGGGAGACAACTTGAAGGATGTGTAGAAATGGCCTATCATCAAGCTGATTTGAGCACCCAGAGTGCCTAGGCCCACATGTAGAACAGAGATCTCTGGCCACAAACGAATTTGCAATCTAGAGTGGGAGATAAGGCAGACGTGCGTTTTATAGGCACCAAAGAAAACCTGATTAGTCTGAAGACTTCGGAAGAATGCAGTTCCCAGTCACTTTTTTTTATGTTATATTTTAAGGCTATTTTTACATCTTATCTGCAAACTCTTCTTAGTCTAAAGAACAAATGCGTGTGCATTTGTGAATCAGAAATGCTTTCTATTGCAGGTAAAAATAGAAAATGTTAGAGTGGTTTAAAAACATAGGTTTTATTTTTCTCGAGGCAGTGAGTTGCTGTGTTGATTTAGTTGCTCAGTGATGTCATCAAGGACTCAAGTTTTATTTATTTATTTGTTTGTTTGTTTGTTTGTTTGTTTTTGAGTATAGTTGACACACAATGTTATATTCGCTTTAGGTGTATAACATAGTGATTCAGCTTCTATATACCTTGGGCTGTTTTCACCACAAGTGCAGCTGCCATCTGTCTCCATTGAAGGCTATTACAATATTCTTGACTGTGTTCCCTATGCTGTGCCTTTTAGTCCCATGACTTATTCATTCCTTAACTGGAAGCCTGCATTTCTCACTCTCCTTTACCCATTTTGCCCATCCCTCCACCCCTCCTCCCTCTGGCAACCAGCCGTTTGTTCTCTGTGTTTATAGGTCTGATTCTACTGTTTGTGTGTTTATTCATTTGTTTTGGTTTTTAGATTCCACATGTGAGTGAAATCATGTGGTATTTAGGGGACCCAGGATCTTTTGTTCCCTCTCCTCTGCCACACTTAGAGTGTGGAATTTTCCTCCTCATGCATATTATTCCTTCTCATATATGTATTATATGATAGTCAGGAGAGATTCACATTCCCTCAAAAAAACCCCAAAATGCCATATGACCCAGTGAGTCCACTTCTGAGTATTTACCCAAAGAAAACAAAAACACTAATTTGAAAAGATACACACAGCCCTATGTTTATTGCAGCATTACTTACAATAGTCAAAATATGGAAGCACCCTAAGTATCCATAGATAGATGAATGGATAAAGAAGATGTGGTATATATCTACAATGGAATTGTACTGAATTCAGCCATAAAAAAGAATGAAATCTTTCCATTCATGACAACACAGATAGACATAGAGAGTATTATGCTAAGAGAAAAAGACAGATACCGTACGTTCACTTAAATGTGGAATCTAAACAATAAAACAAATTAAAAAAAAAGAAATAGACTCATAAATACAGAAAACAAACTGGTGGTTGCCAGAGGGAGAGTGGGGGATGGATAAATAGGTGATAGGGATTAAGAGGTACAAAATTCTAGTTATGAAATAGGGAAAGTCACAGAGGTGAAAATTAGAGCTTAGGGAGGATAGTCAATACTATTGTAATACCTTTGTATGGTGGCATGGTAACTACACTTGTGGTGAGCATTTTGCATTGCATGTAACTATTAAACCACTATGCCGTGCCATCGAGACTAATATAATATTGTACGTCAGCTATAGTTCAATAAAAAAAAGAAGAGGAGATTCACGTTCAAGACAGGAAAAAGAGCCCAGTGTCACTTATTCCTTTTATTAAGATAATTGAAACCTTTTCAGGAGATTCCTAACAGACTACTTTGTTGTATCTCATTGGTCATCATACAGTTGTACGGTCACCTCCGGCTCTAAGGGAGGCCGGAGACTGAGTATCTGGAAAAGTGATAGAGGACCATTGTAATTGGGACAGTTGGTTCATCATGAATCATGCCCTTGGAGTTGAACACAAAATTAGTTCTGGTTAGGAAGAAGAAGGAAGAAATAAAGAGCATTCTGGTGTTCATTGTGCTGTCAGCAAGAAATGAAAATGAACAAAAATGATATGATGACTTTTTTTTTGATTCTAAGAAAATTAAAATAGTGGAAAATACTAAAAATCTGCTAATACTTCTTCCCCACCTTTTTATTTTTACTGCCTGTTGGTTTCCCTCACTTGACTCTTGGTGGCTAGAAATTAAGGTTTTATTGGCTATGCTGTTTTTAATTACTTACTTAGTAGAGACTTCCAGTTTCAGTCACCACAGAGGAACAGGTTTCAAAGCTACCTTTCTGCTATCAATAACTGTAAAACTGGATAAACTGTATAAAGCAGTTTATTTCACGCATTGGATAGCAGACAGCACAAAGCTGTGATCTTTCAGAAAGGGGAAATGCACAAGGTAAACTTGACATTCACTCTCGTTTTCTATCAGAGGGTACTATCCAAACAGCAGCACAGGAAAGTAGAGCCAAAATAAAAAGCAGTGTTTTACATCGAAAAAAACAAAACAAAACAAAATAAAAAAGAGATCGGCATATAGGGCTGGTGAGGCAGCTGGGATTTGTGGGGCAAGATACAAGAGAGCAAGGAGCTGTTTAGAGAAGTAACTCTAGAAGTTTGCATCGGAGAGCCCTTGAGCCCTTGGTCAAAAACTAAATTGCCATGTGCAGGTTAAAATTCTGTGATTGGCAGAGAACAGCCTCTGAGGATCTGTGGGCTTAGTAGGAATGCTAGAGGTCCCACAGTGCTATGAGACATTGGAATTCTGATCAGTCAGAGTTGAGAGACCAGCTAATTATCTTGTACATTCAGTAAGACCCCCAAAAGTTAGACCTTACGAGTGCTCAGGTTCTAGAGTAAGAGCCAATCTTGATCCACCCTAACAAAGCCTAATTAAAAGAGGCCTGACAAGATAAAGGTAATCTACCAATAAAATAATTGCCTGCCAAAACACAACTCATCTGTCTTTGAAGGAAGAGGAACACACAAAAAAATTCAGACTCTTAACCATATAGCATTGACAATTGCACAGCAAAAAGCTAAGATTGGACATGTAAAGAAACAGGAAAAAATGTGACCCATAAGAAGAAAAGACAGGCAATAGAAATAGACCCACTGATAACAGAAATGTTGAAAATAGCAGACAGAGCCTTTAAAAAACTGAATATAAACATATTCAATACTTTAATTTACAAAATTTTATATTTTGCAGAAAGAAAAACTTCTTTTTGAGGAATTTTTTTGGGGAAAAAGAAAAGTAGAAAAAGAAAATAAAAGTCACCATGATCTCATCATTCAGATATAAGTACAATTCCAGGGATTATATTCAGAAATGATACTATCCAGCAGCCACAGAACTTTTTCTAGAAATAGTCCGCCAGATTCCATGCATCTACTTAACCAAAATTGTTTTACATGCCTCTGTTTTAACCAATTAGTTACTTGGAGGATGAAAACATAATGATTGGCTAGACGAATCAAGATTGGTTTTTGCTATTTAGCATGAAGTCATCCATTTCTGAGTTTTGAGAAAAGAGTAGAACTTCACTCTCTCTATATAGAGTAGGAGTAGGCAACCAGCCAATGTCATTGGTTCAGCAACTAAGTCTGATGAATGACTGGGAAGGACTACATGACTGCATTTTGTCAGAACTAAAAGATAAAGAGGAATGGCGGTGATAAAGCTAAAATATAGGAGCCTTGAGGAAGAGGAGTGATGGTCTAGGAGAAGCACAGGGGAGGAAGGAAGATGCCTATGTTATGGCCTGATTCTGAAGTACCTTGTATGTCAAAGAAGGAGCATCTTCTACCTGAGGGAAGTAGAGGCAAATTGGTTTCCTTGGCAGAGAGCTAGCTTTCCATTAAGACTAAGAGGTGGAGAGATCACTTTACATACAGTATAATATTGTATTTATGAATGAAAGGGTGGAAACAGAGTTTGTTATCCATGCAAAAGCGGTTCCAGAGAGCCAGTACGGTATCTGAATAGCCATTTGATATATTGGTAATAGCCTTTCAGACTCAGGAATCAGCTTGAAGCCAGCATTTGTAGGGCATGACAGTACCTCCAATAACCATATTACCACTGAAATTTTTTTTGTCCATATATTGTGGAACCACTAAGTTTCATTGATTTAAGAAGTTTTAATGTTTCATTTCTGGTTGTCAGTAATTTGTCTGTCAAGAAACTTTCCACGGACATTTATTTTACTTTAAAAGAAAGAATTCTATTCTATGTCTTTTGCTATACCATCCCCCTAATTCTTTTTTTCTTTAGATGCTCAGTGGTCTATAAAAAATCTTAAAGAAATGATACATAAAATTCAAGTAACTATACAGAGGCGTATAAAAGCAGCCCCAAATGACAAGATAATTAACACTTACATCTTTCTACCCAGTGGTGTGTGCATGCGGTATTTTCTCTATTGTCTGTGAGTCCTTGGAAGAACTGTATAGGTCCTGAAAGAAATCAAACTCTGGACAAGGCAGAAAGTGAATGTACCTTGAGTGTTTGACTCTGAGGCCTGGGCTGCCATTTTCTTAGGTCCCAAGTAAAAAGAGGAATTGTATGCATTGCATGAGCCTGAGATATTCAGCTAGTGCCGTGTAGTCATTAAGAACATAGATTTCAGAGTCAGCTCAACCAAATGGATTCAAGACACCACTTATATTTAGTGTGACCGTGTGTAAATTATTTAACCTCTCACAGCCCCATTTATGAAATAGGAGTAATAATAGTAACTAATATTACAGGAATGGGATCAGATTTAAATAAGAGAATGCATGAAAGGGTTTATTTCATGGCTGGCAAAACACTATGCATTAAGTAGTGGCTTCTCCTGTGATCATTAGCAGTAGCAGCAGCCGCAGCCGCAGCAGTTAATAAATATCCAGAACTCTCAGAAGGACTTTTGCAGGTCACTCAAACCTTTGTCTATAGTGTATGAATTAGGTAGGTTTGAAGATGCCCTTTTATTTGGGTTAAGAAATTCATTT